ACTAAGAGCATAATCAATGGTAGTGATTAAAGTTGGGGTGCTAAGTATTTTTTATTATATGTATTGTGTGTAAAGTTAGAATCCCATTTTTGAGGTTCTGTAAATGCTAAAATTAGAACTCCATTTTGAAGTGTTAAGATTATTTAATTGTTTTTAATCCATTAGCAACCCATTAAAAAACACTTAATACCCCAGGTTGATCATGCTCTAAGATACTGTTGTAGATCCTCTTGGGGGTGCTCTTATGTTTTTCGGTTGTTTGGTTTTATTTGAATTTTTTTTTGTGGCAACGTTTTGTCAATATAGGAAAACCGAACTGTAAAACAATTTTACAACATCATCTATTTAATTACTTCTCTGTCCGATAAATAAACCCGGAAGGGCATTATTTTGCTTAAACAAACACATGTATAGGCTTCAATTTTTCATGTGAATAGTTCTCATGTCCTTTTGTTTCATCTTCAATGTCTATCTTTAGGGCTCCTAAAACCATTCAAGTTCTCGAGCTTCTCCAAATATGATAATTTCTTTGGCGTCATTTTCGGTGACTTTGGAGGTTTTTCTGACTGCCCTTTTAAACCATTATTATCGCTCCAGCCAATAAAATCCAGCAATGTCTTTGATGAGTATTGTAGCTCAAACTTCTCTGGTCCCTCCTCTGAGTAGTTTGATGATCCCGCGGCCTCTGAGTCCATCTCTGTTGTTATTCTCCCACTGCTTGATGTTTCTAAGGTTGTACATTGCTTCCATGCTAAAGAATCCGCGTAAAGTACATCCTCGATTCTCGACATTTCCGTGTAACCCAAGCTCTCTAGTATCCTTGAGTAGCTTTCCAAAACTGCGTGTCCCACATCCTGTAGTGACAACACATGAAATGATAATATGATGTAGTAATATTCTAATTTTAGTAGTCATTAATCAAGTAAGATTTTGTTATCATTACCTTGTTAAACTGAATCTTGGAGATGTCGAGTGAAGATTGAGGAAGACCAGGGAACTTTTGTTTGAGTAAGACCAAGATTGTTTGGGCCCTTTCTTCGAACAACTCTCGTTTCTCCATGCTCACAGCTGATCCCCAAGAAGATTTGTTTTCCTTTAGATGAAGTTTCCTTTTCCATATCACAATTGAAGCCTCAATCTTGTTCTTTACATCCAACACTTTATGTTCTGTAGACAAGTCAAGTGTTGACAAAAACTGCTCTGGATCAAACCACTCCTCTGTTATGCTCTTGTATAACAAATCACCAAGGCTTGCCCTTCCATTCTGTCATAAACTTAGTCTTCTCAATCCCTTTAAATTTAAAAGAGTACGACTGCGATAATTTCAAACGCTAATTTATGTGTTATTTGTTTTTTTCCACATTTTTGGCCTAAAATATAATAGCAAACATGATCAATTTTTCAGTGTGTTCGCCATTGACATTTACATTTACTATACACTATATGCCCCAAAAAAACCGTAAACAAAATATTTTAGGATGGAAAAAATGTATCACCTTTGGGAGAGACTCAATATAGCTATCAGGGATAGCCATTTCCGACAGAACTTGCGCATTAATAGCCATCGCGGCTTTTTGGACTTGTGATACTGAATCTTTCGTGAAATGAAGCAATCTTCGGGAGGATTCGGATAAGCCATTAGGAGGGACTTTAACTGGAGGAAGCCACCACTTGTCCTTTGTCCTCTCATTTTGTGCTTGCTTCCCTTCTTCTGAATCCCTCGATACGTACCAGAACTCGTTGTGTCCTCTGAAATTGTCTAGTGTATCCTGATATTTTTAAATATCATTCCAAATTTTTGCATAAACACATACACGTATCTTAACTAATATGCATTATGCATATAGACACACTTACAATGAGCATGGCATCAAGTTTGCGGAGGGCGGGGATGTTCATGAGAAGATCACATCTTTGTCTTGTCACCATAATCTACAA